TGGTGGATGCTTAACAGAACGAAACACTTTTTTTCTACCAGGAAACTGCCAAACCTTTTTTTTTGATGTATATAATTAAAATGTACTCTCATCTGTAAAAACAACTCGATTCCAATCAAAATTTTTATGTTTTTTTGCCCATTGCAACCTTTTCTTTTGATGGTCTTTTTTAAGCAAAGGTTTAGAAATTTCATTACTAAACTTTCCTCCAGACTTACGAAGGCATCACCTTACTATTTTTACACTAAGTCTAACACCTCTTTCTTCCATTTTTTCTTGTATTTGAATGGCTGTTATATTATATTCTTTCTCTGCTATCTTTACAATCTTGTCATCTTATTTCGCAGATGTTATACAAGGCCGTCCCGATCTTTCTAAAGTACTTAGGTCCTGATTTTCATGATATCTTTTAACCCAATAAATAGCTGTAAACTTATTACAACGTACCTGTTTAGCAATAAATCCAAAACTAAACTTTGGACTAGCTGGATGCTTACGTAAAAAGACAATTTTATATCGTTTTTCTAAAGAAAGTTCCATTTTTCAAGCGAAAGTTTGATGATTATCTAAATTTTTTTTTGTATCATTGACACTTATAAATTTACAAGTGATCATGTATTGTATTACATTATATTTCTGGAAAATTTAAGGGGTAATTATATAATAATTTTGGACGATCTTGGATAGTCAGATACTTATAACCACTACTGTAGTTAGTTGTATTATTAGAAATAATTTAAAAATGTACAAATGTAATATACATACATTAAAAAAGTCTATTACTTTATCTTCTGTTGCTGGTGGCATTGTTTTAAAATATGTATCATGTAAAATTAGCTTTTCTATCCATTACTTTAAATTTTTCTGTACATTTTGGATACTTTCTTTTAATTCTAATTTGAGATTTGGTATCTGTTTTGCTACTTCACAGATATCATCCATTATTTTTAAATTTTCCATTACATTTTCTATTTCAGAGGTTAATTTATCTCTTTGAATAGCTATGCCTTGCAATCTTAAATTAAGTATTGACATAATTCTTTCTATAGGATTAGTTCATGATTAGTATAGTGCAATTTAAACAGTTGCAAGAAAATCAAAATTTTCATGTAAAAATAAATAAATTAACACTATCTGTATAGATCCAAAAGTACATTGATGATCTGGACCCCATTAGTGTAAATTAATAGAATTTCAGGTAAAGTAATATATTGTTTTTTCAAAGCTTGTAACCATTCTAATAAATGTCTTAAAGCTGAACTAGGTTCAAAAATCGAATTTTTATATGAAACGTAGACATTGTTATCGTAAAAACTTTCAGAAATTTTCTTTGGAATATTAACAAATAAAGATACTGAAGGTGTAAGAGAACATTTCGTAAAATCATGATCAGAAGCGGAAAGTTCCATTTCAGCAAAACTAAGTATAGCTTTATTCCTAACTTCTGTTGATATAGATATATCTACTCTAATTTCTGATATTGTGCTTATTATCACTGCATATGAAAGCTGTATGATTACGAAATTTAATTGCAAATTGCCTTTCATATTTAAACAAAGCAGCGCAATAATAAGAATCTGAATAAGATTTTTGAATAAGCCTGCTTTGCACTTTATACTCTATGTTGAATCAACCAGTATATTGAATTTATAGATGAGAGACGAAACCCCTTAATAACAGTCGAAACTTAGACGAAACTATATTAAAATCATAATAAGGGATACAATGAAACCCATTCGATACGACGAAAGCTGAAACTGTTGAAACTATATTAAAAACATAGAAAAGGGTATGACGAAATTATTTTGAGGAGGTTTCAGCAGGCATCTATAATTGAATTGCATTTTTTGTATATGGATTTTTTGGTTAAAATTGCAGGCGAATTCATTCAATACTTGATATATCGATTTTTTCAAAAGTTTCTTGATAATATTTGTTTTTTAATATTTTAATCACAGCCTTACAAAGATCTCGAATAGATATAGCAATCAGCATGTATATTATTGTATTACACATCGTTCATAAACTGCAGGAAGAACCTATAGTATATAAAAATAAAATTATTATTACACTCAATATAAAAATACTTAAAATTTTAATACTTACATCATTAAAGTATTCATGCATTGCATCCCAAAAATCATCAAATTTTGTTCTTTTAAATCTATTATTAACTTGTAAATCATAAATAATATCAGAATCTTTTGTTTGAAGTACGAGTTTTATTCGTTTACGCATCTTCTCAGAAATATTATCATTGCTAGCAATAGCATTACCAGTGATATCTTGATATATTTTACGAATAACTAATGGAGAAATCTTTATAAAAAGTGAATACTATTAAATAAAAGAATTTATATTAGTTTGATAATTATATATTAAATTATTTATAATATATTACCTTGTTTATAACATTTTTACGTATTTGACGGGTACTATACTTTGGAATTTCATTATATACTTTCAAAATTGCTTGAGTTTCTAATATTTTAGTGTGATCATTAATTTCTTCATGTCTTCTCCAAATCCAATGTAAATTATCAAGATAATTTCCATGATAATGTATATATAGCGTTGCTGGTAAAGATATACTCATTTCTTTTAGAAAGGCTGGTCTTTTTAAGAGATCAGCAGGCAAATATTCATCATACATATTGGCTCAAATTCTTCAACTATATTTAAAGCATCTACAATTGGCTGATACTGTAGTTTAACATTTTCACATATTGGTAAATCTTCAATTTTTATATGATTAATTCCATTTCGTATAGGAAAAGAACTGTTATGTATTATTTGCATCTGATCATTTACTTGTTCCAAATATTTGACATAATTTTTGCATGCTTTACAAGGTTGTATTATCTCCTCTTAAAATGATTCCCATCTTGATTCTAAGGCCCACGGTTATACTATTGATTTTTGTACTGAATTTATATGTTGATATAACTTCTCGATACTGATCTCCTTCTTTTTGTGATGAGACACTTTATAATATATATTATAAGCTTGATTTTTTGATATTTTAGTAATTGTTGAATGAATGGTGGCATATAAAAGGAGCGTCTTATAAACTTATGCCAATGAAGATCAATATATCAAATTAGATTTGTTAATCGTTTAACAAATTCCTTTCTTATAGTTAATTGAAGACCACCAGTCTATCCTAATTCTTTTTCCCAAAGTATCTCTAAAAGATAATTATATAATAGATCAGTTTTTATAAATGTATAATTTTTAGCAGATGGAAGTTAGACTTTTTTTGAATTTTGCATTAAAATTTCTAACGCATTTGGCCTATTCTTATCAGGTGATGATAAAATATTGCTATCATTCAAAGAAAATTGGATATAATATACACATAAACATACAATTAATTCAAGGTCTTTTTCTATATTCATTTTAATATCATGCTATTGTAAAGATCTATGTGTTTGAAAACAAACTTGAATATTTATGGACGGTAACTCAAGAAAAAAAGTTGCTGCTAAAAAGGTCTGCTAAAGTATCAGGAAGCTCAATACTAGTTGCAGATTTTTTAATTATTAATTTTCCATTTCTTTGTACTGAAATAAACAAATATAATTTCATATTTACATAAAATTTTACAAAAAAAACATGTTTTTTTACCAAAAGAAAGTTTTTAAAGACGCGACAGAAGAAAAAAAGAAATATTTTATTTAAGAGTGAACCAATAATACGCATTTTTGAAAAAAAACGTGTCAGTGTAATGAAAATTGAACTCTTAAGAAATTGTGCATTTATCGAACATATAATTAGTTAAAGATAATCAGAAAATTTTGATAATCGGCAGGTAACTATATATATATTTTTATATTAATCATGTGATTTTTTTAAATTTGATATAACTTGAAATTTTAGAAGGGGGAGAAAATCATTTACTATATGAGTCAATAAATTATTATAAACTTGTTATTGGATTAAATTTGAGAGGGGGGATTTGTTAAACAAAAGATTGGATTGGCCTGGCCTTAGGAACGATGGTATTATCATTTATCATTCCTAAGAACTGAACTTTTGGATTTAACTGATTGCTAAAATAATATTGATTTAATGTATTATTTAAGTTTATTTCTGGTATATAGGAATATTTATATAAATAAGCTTAATTTTTTAACTTTTTAA